TTTTTGTAACGTCCCCGATCATTTAGACCGGAAACGCTACTGACGAATACGTAGATGTTCGGTCAGAGGTTCTTAGAACATATCCAAATTCCCTAGACAAGACTTCTAAGCATTCGTCCCCATTAGATACATCTCAAGGCTTGCCAACCCGAGACATACGCAATGGTTAGTTCGTCCGGACAAGGACTAGTATCACATGAAACCCGAATTTATGCAAACTCGATTTTTTTACATATAATTTATACATAAGTTTTAAACGTGATACAAGCATATACAATTGTGAGTCTAACACTCCAAAACGATGATGTACATAATAAACATTATTCATTTACAAAAGTAAGGAAATCTACTGCTGAATTTCCTAACGTTCCTTTGGCCCCCGGTGGTCTACCCGCTAATGGTTACCTGCAATACAAGTAGAGTCGTGAGCACTAGTTCCTCAGTGAGTCTAGGCTCCCCTAACATTCAATAATCAATTCCCAACCAAACCCAAAATAACAATCAACACGCAAGCAAATAAATAAAAAAAATTGCGATAAGTTATGCAATGTCAATATAAGGCCTTTCGCGTAGACTAATTCCCTCCACGTCAAATCACAAGGTATCCATCAGCCCGAAACCACAAAGGCTAAAGACTTAAGATCCTTCACCGTTCCAATGGCCTTATATATATAAGGATCCACACCGGAAATTCTGCATCGTCATGCAGTATACGGCCAAAGGCTGCAATCCCGTCTCTNCNTGTCTTCATGTACTTAGACTAATACTCAACGTACTAGCTAAGTCATGGCTTTCAAGGGAACGTCTTACCGCGATCATCATAATTTATATGTTTTACTAACAATTTAAGTTATAAGGAAACTTATAACTTTGCATCAACAATTCAACTTAGTACTTTTCACATGCTAAAGCTTTTAAGTACTTAGCAAATAAATCACGCAGCAACGAACCTCACTTGTAATTTAATTAAACATACAACAAGCATCACCGAGACTCACNTTTGACTTAACGAATNATNGNGGTTCTGCCAAAGGTTTCTACGGGCGTTTGCCTTAGACTTTAAACTGGAATCTGTTCCAAAGGTTCACAAATTAACCAAGACAAGGCTTAGAGTTTTCTTAAGGGAAATTTGATGGTAAAGCCCACGGATCTTACCTAACTTGAAACTGAGCTTTCCGTGGACTATCTCTAGATCTTTTGGAGCTTAGTCGAAGTTGAACCTATGAATTTAAGATAGATCGAGCCATCGGATCAAGAAACTAAGATTAGATTCATGATCAGCACGAAAAATCACTTTGAAAATGGTAGGTTCGATCACGGGAAACTTACCCTAAGTTTTTCCAAACCTGCTCGACAAGACTCGCGGTGAAACTACTCTATGGTTCGCGGTGGACTAGAAAATAGACTACTCGGTTCGGATGGACTGATCGGATGGGACGATCACGAACTAGGCTACCGTTTGCAATGAAAATTTACGGTGAAAAGAAGTTACGTTTGGACAAAGCAGAATTTCTCGTGTCCCCTGCTTACTAGGTCAGGCCGACCCTTAACTAGGCGCGCCCAAGCAGGTGAAGCAGCTGGACAGCTCACGGCCACTTGCCCATTCTTCACCCGCGGGTAACGTCCTAGGCTCGACACGAGGTGGTGATGATGCCTAAGACCAGGCGTGTGCGCAACACGCACTGGCGTGTGGTCGACACACTCGGGCACGACCTAGGCACGGGCTTACCCACGATCTACCCACGACCAGAGCAAGCACCCTGCTCGGTCACCAAGCAGCCTAGCACGCTGCTTACCTTGGCTTCTGCTTGGTCATTATGCGGGTCATTACAACGAGGGCAATAGTGTTTAGTCTTTCATCAATCTACCACCAAAATGGAACAAACAAAAACACAACACCAAAATAA